TCTGTCATGATCTTCTGAGTGGTAAGAGCATGTATTGCCTTTGCGCCCCTCTTCTTTCACCTCTTCGCCTTTCATCTGGCGTTTCATTGTCTCCATGTCATCCGCCATTCTTCTTATCACTTCGTCTTGCTCCTTTACGCGATCTTCCAAAACCTGAGGATCTATCCTCCACCTCTGTCTATCTGGGCTTTCAGAGCTATCTCACTTGGTTGGTAGTGAGTAGGAGTGTGACTCCTAGGAGGACCTGCTAAGGAGAGTTAGAGTCCTACTGGGATTGTGTAAACCATCTCACTTGGTTGGTAGTGAGTAGGGTGTGTGATTCCTAGGAGGACTCTCATAGGGAGAGTTGGAATCCTTCTAGGATTGTGCCAAGTAAAGTCTATAAAAGCTCATGATCAGACCTATGTAGAGGTATCCCAATTCTTACTCTAGAATACACAGAGCTTTTTGTCTATTTGTCTGTTTTGCTGACTTAGGCATCGGAGAGGTATCCGGCACACACCCGCCGGCTAGCTCACGTTTGTGTTTTCAGGGAGTAAAGCGATGACGTTTGGAGCAGCGCAGATTTGATCAACAGGATTATACGAGAAGATTATTTCTTGCTCGTACAGTGTGCCTTGAGATGAAAGGTGGTGTGTAAATAGAAGCACCCGTAAAATAGTGATACAAGTATAATTACTCTTAAAGAAATTACAAAAAAAATAAATAGAAATTATACAAAATAATTACAAACTGGGAGAATAATGATTGGGAAAATCACACTCCAATGTAATTTCAAAAAAATATTTACAAGTAAAAAAGTTTCAGATAGAGAGATTCTGACCTTGTTTGGTTTGTCTTTTGAGAAATAATTTTTAAAAAAAATTAAAAATTTGTTTGGTTGAAAATTTATGAAAAAAACAAAAATCAAAATTAGTTTTCTCTTTACTACACATCAATCAATCACTTTTTCTCTTTTCTCTCTTCTCTCTCCTTATCTCACATCCTACAAATTAATCAATCACTTTTTCTCTTACACTCATTTATCTAACTACAAAAAAAAAAAGGCTCCATTTGATTTAGTTTTTGAAAAGAATTTTGAGTTTTGCATTGTATTTTGAAAGATAAGTAGTTGAAAGTAGTTTTGAAAATTGAAATTTTGTTTGATTATGAATTTTGAAAATAATTTTGGGATGACTTGTATTTTTTTTTTTTTTAGTTGAATAGATGGGTGTGAAAGAAAATTTGATTGATTTATCTGTAGAATGTGAGAGAATGAGAGAGGCAAGAGGAGAGAGAAGAGATAAAAAAAAATGGTCGATTGCTTTATTAATAAATAAAAGAGAAGGAGAGAGGAGAGAAAAAAATAATTTTGAAAAACGCTTTCAAAATTAGTAAATCAAACATGTTTGTTTGCTTTTTTGATCCAAATGTTAATTTAAAACTATTTTTAAAACATACAACCAAATAAATTTTCAAATTTTATAATCACTTTCCATAAATTTATTTTTCAAAATTGTTTCAAATACAAACCAAACATGACCTTTGTCTAGGAGATTTCTAGCCGTGCTTCAACGATCGTCCAACAACCTCCTTCACACTTCTAGAGTGTAGGGGTTTTGAGTGTTTCTCTCTTGTTTTCGGCATTGATTTTTTGAATTTTTGACATCCACAATTTTTTATTTATTTTTTCTTTCAATCCTTCTCTCATACTATTGTAAGTGTTTTTCTTCGTCAACTCTAACTTTTGGCGGTAATCGAAGTACGCCAACGGTAGAGTTGGGCAGTGGCAATGGAGACGACGTTAATGGCAAGTTTGAAGCAAATCTTACTTGGTTGATGCAGATCGTTTGTTTTTCCAATTCACATATATGAAAAGATTGGTGATTTTTCCTAAATTATTGTATTTTTTGCAACTTTGTTTTTTGTTGTTTGTAGTTGCTGTTTATGTTGTTTACTTGGCCCGTTGGGGTCTTATTATTTTTCCTTTTCTTGATTTATATGGTGTTTGTTTTTTAATATAACTGCTTTAAATGTTCTATAATTATTTTAAGTATTAATATTGATAAAAATTTTCACTGATCTGTAATTATTTTTAAAGACATACATTTATATGTAATTTTCCCCTAGAGATATAAGAAGAGGCGGAATCTTATAAAATATTATAAATGTGAAAATATTTTGTGAAATAATCAACTTGTCATTTCCATTATTCTCTTATCTATTTCGTATGCAAGTTCAATTCCTCATCACCCCAATTTCTCATTGTCACGACTCTCCTTAATTTAATCCATTATCGTCCACTCCTTCACTGGTATAGCCCTTTTCCAATTGCCTCCCTCAACCATCTCTCCCCCGTACTCTCATTTTTTATCTACATTATGTCTAAATTGCTTCAATAATTTACAAACCCTAATCCAAAATTTATTGTAATGATCAATTTGCCTGCAAGATTTGCATTGCAAAACCCATCACTCATGATATTGCAAACCAAGGGGAGAGATCGAGAAGGAATGGTGAAACATGTAATGGGAGGGTGGAAGAGTGGTTGGTGGCTATGAGAGAGGGGCTGAAAGGGCAAGGGAATGGCTGGTAGTGGTCGATAGGGGTTGGTGATGGTGGGATAGAGGGCTGTCAATAAGCACTATAAAAGTTAATAGATTTACAATCTCAATATATATATTTTTTTACATATTTTAAAACTTGTTTGACACATTTTAATACACTTTTTTACACATTTTTTTTATTCTTAACATTTTCCATTTCGATGATCTGAATATGTAGGGTTCATCGAATACTTCATTCTTGCAAAAAATTATGTTTATCGGATATCGATAACCACTTGATTAGAACATATTTTTGTCAATAATTTTTTTTATAAATGAGAGTTTTGTCACATTTTTGACCAAAATACATTAACAAAACACATGATTTGATTAAGTGGCTATCGATATCAGATCAATATGATTTTTTGTAGGGATGAAATATTCGATAAGTCCTACATACTAAATGGTTCAGATCATCGAAATAAGACCCGTGATGAGTTCCACAAGCGTAATAGCATGCTCTGGTTTTGACTGGAGAGAAACTTGATCCTTTTTGATAATTGTTGTCCAACCTTTCCATTTATTTGCAAATTGTCAATTTTTTTTTGAAAAAATTATTAAAACACCCCTCATCAACTTTGTATAATAAGAGATATCCAAGATGTTTTATTATTTATTAGTTAAGGTTCCTTAACATTTTCACAGATAAAATTCAATATAAAAAAATTTCACTCGACTCAGAGAAATTTCAATTTTAACTGAGAAATGTACCTAATTTCACAAAGAAACAAAATTTTTCTAAGTCTAATTTTCTCTGTAAAAATGTTGAGAGATCTTAACTATTATGAAAATATTATATGTAGTTTATCTTATAAAATCTTAATATCAGATATCTTAAATTTTTTTTTTTAATGAAAGAATTATTAATTTATTAAATATTATTTAACAATATTTTGGATGAAAAGGGTGTGTGCAAATGGCAAAGCTTCCAAATAAGTGAGGTATGCGTGTGAATGCAGTAATGGTGTCTTGAAAATAAAAAATTCTAATATGCCAACCTTTTTTTAAGGTGTATTATATAACTAAAAAAAGTGTATTAGGTGGTGTTTGGCAAGTGGGTTGGGGCTAAAATAGTCACAAAAGACAAAACAGGCTATTTTAGCCACAACAAACAAAGCATCACATCCAACCCATAATCATTACACTCTTCTCTCACAAAAAAAAGCCAAAAAGCCAAAAAGTCAAAAAGCCCTTCCCAAACCAAGCTTTTTAGCCCAGGCTAAAATAGCCAAAAAAGCCAAAAAGCCAAAAAGCCAACCCACTTCCCAAACGGAGGCTTAGTTATGTTATTTTTTTAATTATAATAATTTTTTTAATTATGATTCAAAAAATATAAAATTATACTGTTTTTTTAATTATGAAGTAATTATATATATTTTTGAATTATAAAGTACATATTATTCCTTTGAAACTGTCTGCTATAAGGCCTGGTTTGGGATTCTAAAGCTAAAAAGTTAATAAAAGTTATCATTATTTATAAAAAAAAATATTAAAAAAATAATTTTACACCAAACAAATTTTCAAACAATTCTGATGTGGACAAGCGGAGCTCACCTTTTAGAAAAGAGCTTCTATTTAGGTGCATAAAAAACTCGGTGTTGTTCGGCTTGTGAGGATCCATTACGGGTCTCATTTTAATAATCTAAACCGTTCAATGTATATAAATCGTCGAGTACTATATGTTTGTTAAAAATCACGTTGATCAGATATCGATAACTATACGATCTAATCAGTTAAAATTTATAAAATGAATGGTGTTATAATTAACAGTTGAAAATAAACTAATCCGATCAGATAATTATCTGTATCCGATCAACGTGATTTTTTACAAGAAGATAGTACTCGACGAGTTCTACACATTTGAACGATTTTGATTAGCAAAACGGGATCTGTGGTGGGCCCCCACAGGCCGAATAGCACCTCTAATTCAATGATCGAAAAGTAAGAAATCATCTCCCAGCCTCTACTCCGCCTACGCTGTCCCCGCATTCAACCAACCGTGCCGCCTATTCCATTCAATCTTCTCCTACACATTAATTTATACAATTTTTTAATATATATTTTTTTATGAAAAATCAAAAAATTATCTCAAATAACCATCTTTTTTCAATAATTTTTTAATCTAAAAAATAAAAAAATATACCTATTTAAAACACCCCTAACAAACCCGGAAGAATGAAGAATGCTCCTCTGATTCACAACCCAAACAAGCCACCAACCCATTTGTGCTCCTTTACTTTCTCACCCATCTATATAATGAAGTGTCACTGCATTGCATTGTATTCACAGTCTATACACTCTCCTCCACACCCCAAAATCACTCCACCGAATCCAGTGGTTCAGCAGCCGATTCCTACATAGACAGCCTCATCCAGCTTGATTTCCAAATCCCAAATCCGCTATCAAGGCTTTCTCTTTCACCTCAACCCCCAACAATCTACCATTGGACTCCGAAACGGTTATACCTCTCTCTCTCTCTCTCTCACACACACACACACACACACACACACATTAACAAACACGTATCTGTCACTGTTTTTTATTTTCTTGCTTTATATTGATGTTCTGTTTTTTTTTTTGGTGTTTGCATTGATTTTGTGATATGGGTTTTTGTTTTCTCGAGTTTTTTGCTTCTGATTTTGTTTCAGTTTGTTGTACATTGTTTTTTGTGACCTGGGTTTTTTGTTGATTTCAGTAAATTTTGTAAACAGTTCACAAATACATCTGTAAATAAAAAAAAAAGAAAAATGTTTGAGAACCTAATGAACCCCCCCACAATTTCGTCTTTGGAACGATTGTTGTCAACGTTTGATTTGTCACATTCTTAATTAACTTCCTTGCCGGGTTGTATTTGGGGTCTCAAAACTTTAGTTGATTTCATTATTGAGGTTATGATATTTGTTAAACATGTGTACACAAACACGTATTTGTCGCTGTTTTTGATTTTCTTGCTTTATTGATGTTTTTGTTTATATTTCGTTTGTTCTTGTTTTTTTACATTGATTTTGTGATCTGGGTTTTTACTTTCTCGAGTATGTTGTTTCTGATTTTGTTTTAGTTTGTTGCACATTGTTTTTTGTGACCAGGGTTTTAGTTTATTTCAGTAAATTTTGTAAACAATTCACATAGGGACGGACCCAGAATTCTAACATACGGCAAATGTATATACTAACAAAAATTTTAAAAGAAAAATACAAACTACAACATCGATTTGTACCCATATAAAATGTGAAAAATATCATGAAAACCAATATAAGTAAATTTTTTTTTATATTCATGTTGAGTTACAACAAATAGGAATTGTAAGACAATCTATGAACCCTAATTGTGAGAAATCAATTTTTTTTGGGTCCAAATCGTTAAATTTTATAGTTCAAACCCATGTGTGTTTTCATAGATATAAATTTGTACGTCATACAATCACTTAATTTTTTTTTACGATTTAGAGGGGGCAAATTTGTAAAGTGTAAAAATAATCAATAGCTCATATTAGTATATAAAGGGAACTTTTGAAATCGTAGGGGGAGCAATCGCCCCCTCTTCCCCCTCCTAGGTCCATCACTGAGTTCACAAATACATCTGTAAAGAGAAAAAAAGATAAACCCCAAAAATTTAGTTGATTTTAGTGTTGAGGTTATGATATTTATGAAATAATTGTTGTTTGTGTTTGAAAATGTTATCCAGATATTTAATTCGCATTTTTCTTGATTAGGAGCTTTGGAATGGAAGCTATTAGGTTTAAAGAGGTGAATTAACCAAGGGCATTGGAATCTTAATTGAACAAGCATGGTAACAGCTATTAGATGGGTGATTAAGATTACATTAGTAGTCAATCACATTTCAGCAGATTAAGGGTGGATTGATGAGGCTCAAAGGGTATTAGAGCATCTCCAATGGCGTAAGCCAAAGCTATTTTTTGGCTTGCTACAGTGCAGAAAAGCCATTTTTTGGCTAAGCCATTCCAATGGTTACTTTTTTTTCTTTTTTTTTTGACACAACTAAGTGCCAAATTCAACTAACTTTCAAAATTTTCACCATTGAAGTAGTAGATGCAGTGAATTGAAGTTAGCTATACATAAGAGATGAAGTGAATGTTACTCCTATAGAGTTGTAGGTATTGAGATGATAAATAGTGAATAACTATGTAAGTATAATTATAATTTTTAATATTATTGAATTTTTGTAATTTATAGAATTTCTGTAGTTTTAAAATTTTTGGTAGAGGTTTTATTTGTGAAAGTTGTGAAAAAAGAGTTTGAGTTTTGGTAAGAAATATGATGTGGCAAAAAAATGATATTGCCAAATTTTGAGCCGAATTTGGCTCAAGGTTTGGCTTTGCCATTTTTTGGCAATGGTTTTGGCTCACCATTGGAGCAGTGTTTTTGTGAGATCTAGCCATTTTTTGGCTTTGGCAAGTCATTTGTCTCAACCATTGGAGATGCTCTTAGCAGTGACTAAAGTTTTGTTATATCTCAAGATGTTATCATAAGAAGGATGAGTGAAACATTTAGTGGTGTGGGAAAAGATGTTCTGAGTTGCACTGAGTATGTCCAAAAATGCGTATTTGATGGCACAAAATAAATGCAGTGAAATAATTTATGACATAATGATAACAGAATTTTAAGAAAAGGGAGAAACAGATAAAACAACAGATCTCTTGCTGATGAATTGGAAGAGTATGGAAATTGCTGAAAGAAATTCTGGCCTCATCGGTTGGCCTAATAGAGGGAGGAGTTGTATTTGTGTATGTTGTAGGACTTCTATATTAAACGGTAATGTGGAGACCAATGTATAGTAGTACTTGCTGTGGTTTCTTGAATTGAACTGGCCTACTTCTATAGTAATTAAAGTGGTACCTTTCTTTATCTGTTCGTTCTTTTTGTGTTAAATTTTTACTTTAATTAATAGAATGAATGGTAATTTAGGAATTCAAGAGATAAGCTACTATTGGTGATGATGTTAATACCTATTCAATTTATTTATTATAAAAACTTTTACAACGCTTAAAGTAAATGGAAAAATACAAGCTATCGATCGAATCCTACACCTACAAAGTCTACAAAGTTGTATTCTATGGTTGTCTGTTAGATGTACAGCTTTATGTGAAAGGAGTAAAAGCAATCTCTTGGTCCTTGTAGTATAATATTTACATGTGTTATCTCAATTCCCTTGACATGGTATTGGATGTATTGTCTGCCAGTAAAATCTTTTGGAACAGAAGGACGAAGGAAGGATGAGCCTCAGGTGCTTCCAAGTGACAAAATTTATGAGTACATATTCTTTCGAGGAAGTGACATTGAGGTACAATTGTGTACTAATCTATGTGCCATGTTTATTGAAGTTGCTATCCTTAATGTATTTATCTTTGTTCATGCTAGTGGCTTTATTGTGTTGCCTAAAGCAAATCTAGTCAGTTGGATCATTGAGATGAAATAATTTTCAGTGTGTTTTACGTAATATTTGAGATAAATGTTTGTTTGTTTGAACTTTGACACGTAACGAATGTATATGTTTTTTGTTGCATTTTTGGTATTTGAATAATTTGATGCAGTGTTTTCATTATAGTTTTCACTGTCGCTAATGATGGGCTTCCTTTTTTTTTTTTTTTGAAGCAATGAGTTCATGTTCAAGTATCCCTTCACATGCAATGAATAGCATCATTAATGAATTCCAATTTTATGGGTTTCTTGCTGATACAGGGTGTAGAAGGAATCTTGATGCATCATTAGTGAATTGTTTAGGCTTGATCTACATGCCTAAAGATATAGTTTCAAGTCCATCCCACTAGTAATGGTTAACTGTAGTGGCAGATAACTAAGACATAAGCTACATTAATGAATTAATTTTATCGGAATTTTAAGGAACCTTTGACAGAAGGATGTCATCATGGTAATCAAAGTGATGTGAACTTGTAGTGGGTGACTTTGGAGGACCATACTAATAATTGGCATTGGATTTTTGTTTTTCTATAATTTATATTGTCTTGAGAGTATTGGAAGCATGAAATTCGTATGGATTGAGAGACTGAAAGGATTGGCACTTCCTGATAATCTATTATCTTTATTTTTTTCTGGGAAAACTCTTGTTAATAGCAGTGTTACAGACACTGCCCTTTCTCAAAAGCAGTGGTATAAGTATTGCTCTCATATTTTAAATGCTTCGAATGTTACTTCATCCATTTTGATATTTTAAAAAAAATAAAAATAAAAATAAAATTCCAGTATGAAAAATACTTGACTCTGAAGTGTAACTTCCATGCATGCTCTACAGGATCTGCAGGTCATATCGTCGCCACCTGTTCAGAGTACCACAGCTGTACCCAATGATCCTGCTATCATTCAGGCGTGTAAACATTTATTCTATAGGCTTGTATTCTGATGTATAAGATGAACTATGCTCATTTCATATTAATCATAAATTTACGTGCAGTTTCATTATCCTTGCCTACCATCAGCATCTTCCAGCTATCCACCTGATAGTGCTGTCCCTGCAACAAATATTAGTTCCAATACACGATTGGGACACCCCAATTCAACTTTCCAAGGGAATCTTCCTCTAAATCAACCTGTGGGAAGCTTAGGATCTTGGAGTTCATTGCCTCCTCCTCCAACTGCATATGGTAATGCGTTTTCCATGCCAACTTATTGGCCACGACACAGTGGGACCTCTGGGGGAGTTTCTTATTTGCAACAGCAATCATTGCTTCGACCACCACAAGGTTTTCCAGTGTCTCCTCTGGTGCAACATCAGATGCAAAATCCCACCACAAATACATCTTTACCAGGCAATGCATCAAATTTTGCAGAATTCTCGAGTCCCATGCTGCCAACAGTTGGTACTGGTTTCCCAAGTTTAACCTCCAACATGCCTCCTCCATTAGCACTTCTATCAACTGTCCCTACCAGACAATCTGCTACATTGCCTTCTAAATTATCACCTAATCTGATGCCAAATAATGCTTCTAATGCTCTTCCTACTGTAACTGTGGGTTCTAATTCAACATTAGCATCTCCTTTGACAACTTCTAGTCTGGATATGAATCCTGTTGTACCTCCAGTCATGGACAAACCTAAACCAGTCTTTGACCCTGCATTGCCTAATCAAACTATTTCTCAATCTATGCCGTCTGTTGTTGGGTTGTCCAGTCCAGTTCACAGCGAGTCATCAATACCATCTCTATTGACCGTGGGCCAGCTTTTGCAGCCTGGGTCCACAGGACAATCTTCACCTCATTTGCAGACTGCTCGTAGAGACATAGAAGTTGATCAAACATCAACATCAGAATCAGTGTCATCAGATTCAAAAAATGCTAACAATCCAGCAGAGTCATTTCAATCTCCATATGCTGCAAAGGTATGGCTGTTGTCTTGCTGTAGATTTCTGTTGATGTTTTAACATTTTTTATCAGGTCTTATACTGTGCAAGTTACGAACATTGTACCTTAGGAATTGCTTACATTTTTAGGTCTTTTTTTTTTTGGACATGGTAATATCAGATCTATTAAATTAAATTTTTTTTTTACTAATAAATTAATCCATTTTGTTCATCTGCTGAAAGTATGTGCTGTTAGTTAAAAACTTCGAATTGTTATTTGGTGCTAAAATGAAAATAAAGAGAAATTGATTTTCATTTTCTCTGACTACTATTAGATGATAGTGAGAGAATATTGCTTTTCTCATCCCTCAATTTTCATAGAGGGTACAATGTGAATTTGAAATGGTATGAACTGGATATCAAGTTCTCACTTCTCCTCACATAAGTACATATATACTCCAAAATGAAATGCAAAATACTGCAATCAAATGACTCAAAACTCCGGAGTAATCAAATCACATTACACACTCCACCAAAGGTGATTTGAACAAGGAATTATCACTGGCTTCATGCTTTGATTAAAATTGGTATGGACTGTGAATAGAGATCAATGAGAGAGGAAAAATTGCAGAAACAGAGAGAGATAGAGAAAGTAGAGAAAGAAATGAGAGACAAGCAGGAAAATGTGGAATATAATAAAGGGAAACTTTTGTAGTAAATTAAATAAGCTAAGGGGGCAATTTGTATGGGTTTTATTGAAAAAATAAAACATAAATTATAAAAAATGTGAGGGGAAAATTGGATTTTTATCGATTAATTAAAATTTTAAAAATTCTGAAGATGGCCAGCCCCCTCTGGACACCATGCCGCCACTGTGAATCATATTTGTCTTTAATTGGATGTTTATAGAAACTTCTTTGCTGTGTATGCTATCTATGCTATGGTAATTGTCATTTTCATTTGATGTTACCGGGATGTTTGTGTAAGCCTTATATATTTATTTATTTTAACATTTTCCTTCCAGTTGAATGGAGCTGCTTTGCACTCTCATGATAGTAATAAGCGTCATGTACAGGGAAGAGGAAACACTGTAATTTCTCAATTTTTGTAACGTAGTTCTTTCTCAGAATGCTTCATGCCAATTGCTAGTGGTTTCATTTTCACTTAAAAGTCAGAGGTATTCTGATTTGTGCCTTTTGTGATGGATCTCTTTTCTCCAGCCGAATAAAACTGCTCCACACCTTCATCACTGTGAGAGAGACCATGCAAGGGGAAAAGGAAACTGGGTAATCAATCACTTTTATTATGCTTTTTAATGTTTCATGTTCTACATTGCCAGCTGTTAAGTTATTGTATGCTCATTTAAAATACCTGGGTTTCTTATATGAGATTTTTGTGCGGCCTTTTTATTTTTTTCCTTCCTTTAGCTCAATGGAGCTGCTTTACGCAGTCATTACAATTATAGAGGCCATGCAAGGGGAAGAGCAAATGTGGTACTTTTTTTTTATTAATCTTTAGTCACTTTATTTTGATTCTCAGAATGTTTTGTATTCTATATTGCCAGCTATTTAAGTTTCTATATGCTCACTTAAAATACCTGTGTATTCTTATATGAGTTTTTTGTTCTGCCTGTTTTTGTTTTTTTTTCTATTTTTTCTTCCTCTAGCTCAATGGAGCTGTTTTACACAGTCATCACAGTTGTAGAGACCATGCAAGGGGAAGAGCAAATGTGGTGCTATTTTTACTAATCTCTGGAATGTTTCATGTTTAGTGCCAATATTTTTTTGAGTTTTTATACTTGTAGTTCTAAGTCATGGGAATTTTGATATGTGCCTTCTCTGTAAATCCTTCTAGCTGAATGGAGCTGCCTTACACACTCATCAGCGTAATAGAGGCCATTTTCGGGGTAGAGAAAATGGGGTATTTTAATTCTCTCATATGCTTCATCTTACCATTAATAACATGATTTTTTTTTATATTTTTATATCATGTCATAGGGATTTGACAATCTTTTAGCTTTTTTTTTTCTTTCTAGCCAAAAACCGCTTCAGTACAGACTCATCACAGTTATAGGGGTTGTGGATGGAGAAATGGAACTGAGGTAACTTAATGCTTTTATTTTAATTTCTAGAATATGGAAAAAGTTCATAACTTTGAGCCTCTAGGCATTCTGATTGAGTGAAACCTTGCTTGGATTAGTTAATTGCCTATGATATGATATACATGGCACTCACGTTTCAAAATTATTTGGAACCCTACAGAAGGGTTACACCAAAATTGTATAGAAGACCCGGTGAATTACACATTCTCTCTCTCTCTCTCTCTCCAACCAAAAAAAAAAGGGTAAATTACATTGACACCCCCTCTATACTTGTGAAATCACAGTGTCATTCATCCCCCTTACTGTTGAAAATATCACTGACCTCCCTTGTCAAGTAACACCGTTAAATCACATATGAATTTACTACAATAACCTTATGTGGTCAGTCAAATCTAAAAATCTTTTTCCTCTCTCTTTCTCCTCTCTCTCCTCTTCTCTGTGACCAACCACCAACCAAGTTCCCAAAACCACTATTGTTCTATCACAGCTACCTGTTCCATTTTTTCCAAAATAAATAGCTTTCATTAATTGAATTAATACATGGCAGTGAGGTCATGGAATTGCATTTGTTCCATCTCATTCTCATGTAGAAGTAGTGGAATTTTTTCCACTTGGCATTTGTTTTCTCAAATACTTTCTCTGCAATTTCAATTTCATTACCATCAATCTTAACTTCAGTATCCGATCTAAAAAAAAAAAATCTTAACTGCTGTACCCACGTTATGCATCTACTATAAAAATCTTCAAAACTCATAATCATAGTGCTTCAGCTCTAACTCCATAAACCAATCTTTCGACATCTACTTCACTGGAGCCATTGATTTCTCTCTACCTTTCCAACAGGGGAGAGAGATATGGAATCCACCACAACTGCAGCCCAACTCCCTTCCCGCCACAGCACTGCCTCATTCACCTTCCTCTCCAACGCTTGTCACAGTCCCTGCTGTTGATCCGCAACAGCGCAGCGCCATCTGCTGCCACCTCCACCACGCTCGATGCAACCCCTAGCCACCGCCACCACCATCACCACAACAACCGCATCTCTTTTCTCTCCTCCACTGTTCCTTACACGTAGCTGTGAGTACACCACCTTCTAACTTAGAACTTCTCCTAGCTATTAAATTGGTACTTTCTTTTGCTTGCTAGAGGTACTGGTTCCCAAAAGAAAGAATAATGGCAATGAAACTTTGAAGGAAGATGGAGAGGATGAGAGAAGGACCGAAATAGAGAGGAGAGAGTGGAGGAGGAGGGAGATGTAGAACAGAGATGGTTCTCTTTTCGTAGGGAAAGGGTTAAGTGTCAAAATAGGTAAGGTAGGGTATAACTGACATTTTGTCACATTTTTGTTGAGTTCATCATTCTGTCCAGTCAACAAATGGTTGACTAACGGAAGTAAGGGGTAGCAGTGTGATTTTGGAAAATAAAGGAGGTGATGACAGTGTGATTTCAATATTTTTCAGGGATTGTCAATGTAATTTACCCCCCCCAAAAAAATCTCTCTAACATTGTTGAGCATGTGTGGTCAATCTACATTTTACTTGCTCCTGGCTGTGACAAGGTCCTGCACTCCAGTAGGTTTTGTAGTATGTTTTATTTATATTTAGGACTCTCAACTATGAGTGGTTCTCTTTTGCAGGTCTGCCCTACAACAACCAAATTTACCGAAGATTTTGATTTTGAGGCGATGAATGAAAAATTCAACAAGGAGAAAATATGGGGTCACCTTGGCAAAAAGAACAAGACTACTTTAGAAGACGATGAGGGGGAGGAAAACAACAATGATGCAAATGTTGCAGAAGAAGAAGATGAAGATGGGTTAATAAAATTTGTCATGAAGGTGAGATTGCTAGCATGTCTGGATCGTGACAAAGATACATTCTTGATTCTTGGATTTCTGTTTTTGCAGTCTTTTTATGTAAAGGACAACTTCTTCGATTCACTTTCTTGCAATTCACCCAATCATGAGTTGGGGAGAGGAAGGGCCAACTTGTCTGAACAAAGGAGAATAGATATCGAGGTATGTAGCTTATGGGGATGTTTATAGCTTTTTTATTTTGGAAATTTGTGCCAGAGTATTTGGTATAGCTTCTACTTAAAGTTGATTATTGAGAAGTTGGGGGAAGGCTGCTTTTAACTTCTGCTTTTAATTATCAGCTTTTAACTTGCAAGAAGCTGCACCAAATAAGCCTTACCTGTCATGTTTATGCCGTATACTTCCCTGGGCTTTGGTTGCTTGAATTTTCCCTTGTTTTTATGTTTCAGACTTTTGGCGAAATTCCAAGACATCAACGTGGTCATAGCAGCCAAGGAGGGCCAGGCTGGGGTGGGCAGTTGCAAGGTGGCTTCTATCGTGGAAGGGGATATGGGTATGTGGGTAAGGGTCGAGGGCGGACTGTTTGGTGTCGTGTGACCTAGCTGGCTTTATTGTCTCAGGTTTTATCATTGTGTAGGATCTAGAAAAGAGTCTTAACAGCTTTTTGAGTTGGTAACTAATTGAGGGGAGTTAAGGGGAGGGGGGGTGTTTTTTTGGTGGGGGGGGGGGGGGGGGGGGGTGTTTACGAGGAATAACAAGATCAATCTGGAAATTCTACAAAGGATGCCAATGTTTCGGGTTCTTGTATTATGGCTCCTACCACAGAAACTGGTATTTTTTGGGGGGTTGAAAACTGTCCAATTTGAACAATAGCTACTGCAAAAATATTACTGTTAGCCAGAGAGCTCCTTCCTCCACCAAATGGATTGTGGAGTCAGTTTGAATTAGTGATAAACCTTTCAAATGGAGGTTTTGCATGGATGGTTAAGCTGTCACTTGATAATGTAGTCAATTTTCTGTTCTTTTTTTTTTTCCCCTTAAAAAAAGAAAAAGAAGCTTATTTGGTGTAAAAAATATTTTGAAAATAAAAAATAAACATATTTGGTGAGTTGCTGGAGGTGATAGTTGGCAGTGGATGGTGGATGGATGTGGCTGTTGGAGTTAGGAATGGCAACGGGGCGGGGCGGGGTTGGGATGCCACTCCCCGTCCCCGATCCCCGAAGGTAAAAAAATCCCCTTCCCCGGCCCCGATGTAGGGTGTACCTGGGGTATGCCCCTTGTAAACTTGTACATTTTACTGTCTTTATTTTATGACTTACTTCCCCAAAAAAAAAAAAAAAAAATGTCTAATGGACGGCAGAACAGATTTGTTCAACAAAACCACACAACATCATCAACAACAACATATATATATACATAACAATCATCAAAAAAAATTAATCATAGATATATATATATACACAACAATCATCAAAAAAATTTGTTCATCACGGACGGAGGGAGGGCTTCACTTCTTTAGATCTGTTCAGACGGAGGGTTTCACGATCTGACGGAGGGCTTCATGATCGGACGAAGGGCTTTCCAGATGGAGGGCTTCTTCTTCTTCAGATCTGTTTAGATGGAGGGTTCACGATCTGACGGAGGGCTTCACGATCTGGCGGACGGAGGGCTTCACGGACGGAGGGAGAGGGAGAGGGAGAGGGAGGGGGAGGAGGAGATGGAGAGGAGAGGGAGGGAGAGAGATGAGACTGAGTCAGTGAGGGAGAGGGAGATGAGAGCCACGGTGAGAGAGAGAGACACAGATGAAGTGAAACTAAAAAACAGGTTTGGTTTATATATATATAGAGGGGTAAAAGAGTAATTTTACTTCGGGGATAAAACGGGGATGGGGACGGGCCGGGGCTGGGACACTTATCCCCGTCCCCGGCCCGAAATTGATCGGGGATTAATTTTTGAATACCATCCCCTTCCTGTTGGGAATATTTTTCGAGAAAAAATCGCTGAAATCGGGGTTGGGGAGTCGGGTCCCCGTCGAGCCGGGTTTAAATTGCCATCCATAGTTGGAGTTGGTGGTTGAAGTGTCTTGGGATGACTGGAGCGTGTCAGCCGGAAATGGCCAAAGTTGGTCGTTGGAGTTGTTTAGTGGTGATGGTGGGTGGTGGTTAGAGGTAGTTGTAGTTGGTTGTCGACAATTAGATACATTTTTAAAGTGGGAAAAAAATGATTAAAATATGAAAAAAAAACTTATGAAAGAAAAAAATTAGAAAAATTTAAAAATTTAAAACTAAAAAAAATGATTGGCAGTTTTTTAGAAATGTGAGATTTATACGTAAAGAGTGGTGATCGATTTTTTTTTCTTTTTTTTTGGTTGTAAAAAGTTGTAATGTGATAAGTAGTCATAAATTATTTTTCATTTCAATCTCTTTCCAATGTTGCAATGATGAGAATCGCATTTCTAATTCACTTTCAACATTTTTGTCAACTAAACATAACTTGGAGAAATAAAAATTGGAGTAATTCAAGGTTATCACCCTAATGTGAAGACATTGGTGGTGCGCCAATGCCCAATGAGGGTCCTTACTCTATTATTGTGATGGAAAGAGTCTTAAAAATCTCTTTTTTATTTTTTATTTTTTGTTTTTTATTTTTTATACGGCAGTGGCTTTGGTCCAGTCCAAGATCGGATTGGACCGTGCTGTTGAGCCCGTGGGGGCCCACCACGGGTCCTGTTTTGATAATCCGAACCGTTTAATGTGTAGAACTCGTCGAGTACTATATGCTTGTAAAAAATCTCGTTGATCGGATATCGATAGCTATGTGAATAAAACAGTTTTTTATCAACCGTTAATTATTTCACCGTCCATTTTTTTTAATACAAAACTGATTTGATCACATAGCTATTGATATTCGATCAACGTGATTTTTTACAGGTATGTAGTACTCGACGAGTTCTACACATTGAACGGTTTAAATTATCAAAACATGCCCAAAAAATGAGCCCTATAAACCGAATTGGACGGGTCCAGTCTTGACCTCAACTTGAGACAAGCCGGATTCTTTTTATATATAGTAGTGTTGGGATCAGCAAAATGATTCACACCAAATCTAAGTTGCTCACATCCAATAGGTAAATGACACTACTATACTAGTATTATATATGTCCCATCTTACACTAATGTTTAAATTATGACAAATATATGCTTTGGTGTCTCTGAGTAGACCATGCAAATCAATGGAGTCGCAATTGGAGTGGGTCAAGTATTAAGTGGAGTGATGTGTGACACATTATGAATTTCTAACCATGACATCATTTGTTGTAGATTAGTTCTATTTATTTGGTTTATCATAGATTTAAAAAAAAAAATAATTTGACATGGAAAAGAAAATTGTAGAAAAAAAAACTCTTGTATTTGCAACAACAAAATTCAAACTAAGATTGCACTTTGATCCCAAAAAAAAAAAAGACACAATGTGAGCGGATGCTATTTGGAATATGGCATAATTGCGGGTTGCGATAACCTGCTCGCCCTTAGATATTAAAAAAAAAAAAAAAAAAAAAAAAAAACCAAGATTTCACCAGTTTTGAATTAGTTAATTCAAAATGGAGTAATGTAATAGGTGCAACCAAATTGGCAATAAAATTTTTTATTTTCTATTCAGAATCTTTCATTTTACGTAATTTTAGTATGTCAGTAATCTTCACAAAGAAAATGAGGTTATCTAGGATTTTTTTTTTTAGTAAATAGAAGGGGAAGAATTAAGAGACTATATCACCTAATAGGTTATATTCAAATTTAAACATCACACTTAGTAAGAAAACATCGGCCAACCCTTAGGGTATGTTTAGATCACGAATTTAGGTAGTGATTTGAGAAAAAAAAATAACAATGCAAGAGAAATGAAGAAATATGTAACTTATATTTCATTCATATTCATCTCATTTTTTATTTTTTTAAAAAATTTACTCAAATTCATAATTCAAGCATTCAAAGTTAATTTAAAAGACAATGCAAAGCATGCTTTGATCTAATCTCAACTATAATTGGATGCTCTCTTGGCTACTAGAGAGACAAATTCTGAGATACTGGGTACGCCAGTTAATCTATATTGTCCTATATGGTAAGTCTATAATAATAATAATAATAACTCTACTTCTCATTATTGATGCTGAAATCAGCGTACACCATTGTATTTTTTGGAGGGAAAGCTCCATTATTTGAATCAATCTTAAGAAGGATAAGGGATTGCATCCTAAATGACACATGGTATTTAAATTCATCCAATATGTTCTTATTTATGTTCTGTTTATTTCGACATAAAGCATTTTCTTTAAAGAAGATTTTTTTTTTTTATGCTAAAAAAACTTTCTGAAAAAATGTTTTTATGTTTTTAATTGCACCCTTAAAAATGATTTGTTATTAGTGGTTGTGGTGTTGCTGGTGCGGTTGTGGTGTTGTTCGGTGTTGGAGTCAAAGTGGCAGCAATGGTAAGATGGTTGTGGTAGTGGTGAAGATTGTAGTGGTTGGATGTGGTAGTGGTGGTGGGGATATGGTGGTAGGGTAGTAGCGGTATGAGTGGTGATGATGGTATTAGTAAGATGTTAGTTTAGAAAATATTTTTTATATTTAAAAAATAAACAAAAATATGTATCTTTTGCCCAAATCAATCCATTATTTATTGACTATTGAAAATGTTTTTATTAATTTTTATTTTCTGTCGTACAAAATGTCAAAATATTTTTTATCAAAACAAATAAAAATATTTAAAAATTCTCTCCTTCATTTGTTTTTTTTTGATTATTTTAATTGATTTGTTTGTTTATCCATCTAGCTGATGTTCAGCTATACACAATTTTTTTTAGGCACTAAATTTTAAATATGAAGTGGTGGTGGGTTGCCTGTTTAGAAGAAAATCAGAAGCTTGTGTTTCATGGAAGTTTGCTAACACACAGAAATAGTAAATGGTCCAGTTTACTGGATCATTGTCCTGCCTTTTTTAAGTTGGCAGTGGACAAAACAACAAAACTAGGGAGGGGTACATGTGTAATGGACTCATGTGCCATCTATATAACAAAGTTGGATAATTTTTAAAAATATATAATTAATTAGAACGGTTGAGACTCCTTGATTCAAAATAAATTTTTCGTTTAAATAATTGATAATTTTTATTTTATACAATTTTACATTAGAAAAAAAAAGTGAGTTGTTTCACTTATATAAAATGAACCTTATGTCTCTATTTAATATTGTAGTATTGTGTATACTTTAGTTTAAGACGGTTTAAATTTTAAAATAAAATTAGAAATTTTAATTAATTAATTAGTTAATTTTTGTGTAAGTTGGTTGGTCTTTTGACCTAATCGATTAGGCTGAACTGTTTTCAGTTTGATTGATTCGTTGGTTTAATCGGGATTTTAACGATTTTATCAAAATAAATTGATTAGATTTGCTTGATTTGAAATAAATTTCTAACCTAAACAATTATTAGTTTTTAATGTACACAATCTTACATCAAGAAAAGAATAATTGAGTGAGTTGTTTCACTTATATAAAGTGAACATTATGCTTCCATTTAATATTAGTTTAATACAATTTAAATTTTAAAAGTTTTAATTAAATAATTTTTGTGTGAGTTGGTTAGTCTTCTAACCAGGCTGGGTAAGCTCAGTTTGTTTCAAT